CTATAGTCTCGGCAGCATACCGAAGGGATGGTCGAGCTGCATTACCATGGGCTGATGTGGAAGCTGGGACGACGAGATGTTCGAGCGCTTACCTTCGTCCATCGCGCCATCATCCAACACTTTAGGGCAGACGTCTTTGTACTTTGGCAGACGCCTCTTGAGCTTGAGCTTGAACATCCACACGAGTTTGCCTTGGAGTGCTGCTCTTCGGTGCATTAATCTAATTTTAGTCCAGTAATGACATAGGTGTGTGTCCCGCATACAAATTTGCACATTGTAGCTTGAATAACCAATATATAACTTCTGGCATACCGTAGTGACCCCTAAAATGTGTGCGCTGCCACTGGGTACTACCAGGCACTCCTGAGCCTCTACGCGTGCGCTACCCGACAAGGGCAGATGCGGTGGCTCAGGGTAGCAAGCGCCCTCGCTACGTAGTCAGACGCTGCTTCCTGATGCTCATTTGGGTAAGTACTAAGTATGACACCTGCTGACCTTCTTGACTCCGAAGTGGTCGTGTGTTGCTCATATTAGACGGCTAAGTGTAATGTAAACTTGTGTGGCTAACTCTGGGCGATCAAGCTTTGCTGCTCTTACTGCGTTTATTCTATACTGTGTGCTCAAACCTCACTAGCACTGGCAGCGGCCTATGCCCATGTTTAGGGCATGATCTGACAGTCTTCCGTGCGTACACAATCCCTAATATTCAGCATATTGCATCTGCTTTAATAGCAAAGTGACTACCTGTGCAAATTAACATTGTTTACCGGCGAGCAAGTCTTTCTTTGCCGGCGAGACTTCGTTTGACGGCGGTCAGTTATTATTTGACGGCGGAGTTGAACGCGTTTACCGGCATTACTTATGTTTTTGACGGCGGGATTTGAATTTGTATGCCGCGCTAATTTTTGTGCAAACGGGCCGCCATACAAACGGGCCGCCATAGCGTACCGTTTGAAAATTTGAACTTTGCGTTCGCAATCAAGACGCGAGACGCGTCGCGGATAATTCACCCTGACCTCGAGCGTCTCGAGTCCGTGTCACCCTCCCTGAGACACAAATCATTATGGCACTACGCGGGCAGCTCGGAGTTTGCGATAGCTGCGGTTTACTACATAGTCCCACTTCCACCCCCCACGACGCTTGTTAACAGTGCGCATCTGAAGATCGCAACCATAACTTGTCGACAATGTGGCCTTTCCCGACGCCGTACCCCACGCTCACACCGCAACAATTGAGAGCAGAGTATGACTATGTCATCGTAGGAGGTAACACATCGTGAAGCCACGTTTTTTGCCTATGCTTACGCTTTGCACGACCCAGGCGGAACGGGTGGGTGTGTCTTGGCTCGCCGGCTCGCCGAGGATAGAAATGGCACCGTGCTTGTCATTGAGCGAGGCGACGCACGCGATATCTGGCTCGACCGCTTTCCGCTACCGTCGACACACTACTGGTCCGACCGCAAACACAGCATGGTCCTGGAGGCGGACATGCTTGGTCAGAAGACGGACATTATCTCCGGCAAGGGCCTTGGTGGGACCTCAAGGATCAATTCGATGCAGTACAGTCGCGGCACGTCGGGCGAGTACAACGCTTGGGCGCAGGCGGGGCGCAAGGGATGGAGCTACTCGGAGCTGCTACCGTACTTCGAGCGCACAGAATGCCTGTACAATCCTGCCACGAATGCACATTATGGCACTGAAGGTGCGTTGCTTGCTGACCCTCTCAGGAGAAGCAAGATACTCACGCTTTGCAGGTCTATGGAATATCCAGGCCCCGCCATCCACCTTCAAGTTCGGTCTTAACGAACAGTGCGTAATTTTGCGCATATATCCACAATTGCCTGTGAATGACTCCGTATACGCGCTCCCAGCATTATTAGGAGTTCCCAGAAAGCAGGCTTCACCTATGGAAAGGACGTCAATGACCCGAAACTGCCGACCTCGGGGTGCTTCCTTACCCACCACACTATCGACTCGTCGGGCACCCGACACAGCACGTTCCGCGCATTCCTCCCGAAAGAGTTTGCCCTCGCACATAGCCGGAATCTGCACTTGTGCGTGAACACCGTCGCGCGGAAGATCGAGATGGAGCCGCTGGCAGACGGGAACCTGAGGGCTACGGGCGTAGTCGTACAAAGTGCGACGCCTGGCGCGGCGAGTGTGTTTGTTAAGGCCCGGAGGGAGGTCATCCTGTGCTCGGGCGCGTTGCGTACCCCCCAGGTGTTAATGCTCAGGTGCGAGTAGACCTCGGCACATCCTGCATACATTCTTCAACTCTTCGCGCATATAGCGGCATTGGCCCTGAGAAACACTTACGTGACATTGGGGTTCCAGTTGTGCACATTCTTGAGGGCGTCGGCTCAAACCTGGTACATTCCTGCCCTCTCCTTCCAGCGTCCCTGCTGACTTCGAGCATAGCAAGACCACTTGGGCCCTCACGTTGACCTACAATGCCCGCTCGAACATTCGCTCTATCTGCTCGTCCGGCGGCCATGGTACCTCCTTTACCAGCTCCTGCGCTACTTCATTTTCGGTGACGGCTGGTTCCTCACATCGCTTGTCGAAGTATGCATCCTTACTTGCGCGCGCTGGCTGGACGCGGACTCGGGGCAAAAGCCGCTCACCGAGGAAGACAAAGACCCATCGAGGCCAGAGAACATCCCAGATCTCGAGATCATAGCTGTACGCTCTCCTTTTCTTTCTCGACAAGCCAAGGTAAGCTGATGATGACGACAGGTCTCAGTATGCGAGTGGCAATCTCCAAAGTACGACCGCAAGCGGGGCGGGTTCTCGATGGTTGCCGCGCTGCTGCGACCCTTCTCGCGGGGCACCCTCCGCTTGCGCTCCTCGGACCCGCTCGAGCAGCCCATCGTCAACCTGAACTGCCTCTCCGACACGCGCGATCGCACGACCATGCGCACGGGTGTCCGATTGTGCATGCGCATCGTGCGCGAGATGGAGAAGGACGGATACCCCGTGGGCTACTTCAAGGCGCCGCAGAGCCTCGATGACGACGCGCTCGACGCGTTCATCGCGGGAAACAGCCGGAGCTGCCTGCATTACAGTAGCACATGTCGCATGGCGCCACGCGACGATCCCGAGCCTGGGGTCGTGGACGACGAACTGCGGGTGCACGGGTTCACGAACTTGAGAATTGCGGACGCGAGCATGTTCCCGCAGGTGCCTGCAGCGCACTTGCAAGCGCCGGTTGCTGTTGTGGCAGAGAAGTGTGCGGACATGATCAAAGCAACGTGGAGGGCGTAGGGATCGCTGATTTTCTTGCAAAGTCCTGGCGCTCTCTAGATTGTTCGATTGTATATCTATGGTTCAGCTCAGTCTCTGCTCTCACTACGATAATTTAAAACAGTACTGAGGTGCTCCTTATGGTGTCAGAGCAGCGCACATCTCGTGATGAAGCACAAATTCCCCAAAGTGATAATCGTGTTTCTACTTCTCAATCCCTCCTACAGCCTTTTTTATCATCTCAGCGCATTTCTCCGCAACAACAACGACGGGTGCCAGCAGGTGCGCCGCCGGAATCTGTGGAAAGACACTCGCATCGCAGACCCTCAGGTTCGCTATCCCATGCACCCGCAGTTCGTCATCCACGACCCCCGGCTCGGGATCGTCGCGCGGCGCCATGCGACACGTGCTGCTGTAGTGCAGGAAGCTCATACCGGTCGCGTCGATATATTCGTCTACGTCCGCCTCCTCCGCACTGCGCGGTGCACGCAGCGGTCTCGTGCCGTACCCGTTGGCGTGCATCGTACCTGCGATCCGCATGCAGAGCCGCACTGCCGTGCGCAATGTCTTACGATCGGCGGGCGCGCTTAGGAAGTTAAGCTCCATAAGGGGCGGGTCGAGAGGATTCAAGGAGCACAGCCGTATGGTCCCTCGGGAGTGTGGGCGGAGGACGGCGGGGAGCATAGTGTAGCCCCCTTTGGACTTGTCGTAGTCGGGGTAGGTGAAGTCGCAGACTGCGCCCTGGGTAGTGTTCGATGAGTGAAATTACACCGGAGACGCAAGCTCTCGAGACACGCACCGTCATGATCTCAATATCAGGCACATTATCTGGTCGCGCTGCGTCTCGCTGCTGCTCGTCGAGCACTTTTTGCCTCATGTCCTCGTCCAGGTAATCGGCGCGGGTGTACACGCCCGCCTCCATATAGTGGTCGCGCAGCCAACCGTCACCGAAGAAGAGGAAGCGGAGGAGCTGCCATAGGAGCCACCATGGCCTCAAGAACAGCGCGATCCAGGTGTCCCAGATCGGCGCATAGTAATAGAGCGGCGTACTTGCTTCAACAGACCGCTGATCCCACTGCAATCTCGAAGGTGGCACCGCGGGCTGTGTCTTAGCGCGGCGTCTTGCCGAAGAGCGTAACTTGAGCATCCTGCTCATTGAGCGCGGCGATGCCAGAGATAATTGGCTTGACAAGACGCCGCTGGTCTCGACGCACCAATTCTCTGATAAGAAGCATAGCGTCGTGCTGCAGAGCCGGCTGCGCGGCGACGCGACAACTGAGATCGTCACGGGCAAGGGACTCGGTGGGACGTCCAGGATCAACGGCTTGCAATATACTCGAGGTGTGCCTGGGGACTATAACGCCTGGGCAGAGAGTGGACGCCAAGGGTGGAGCTATGAGGAACTCAGGCCATACTTTGAGAAAGCTGAGGGACATTGGAGTCCCGTCACACACGCCCACTATGGGAAGAGCGGTGAGATGACTAGCTGCTCCGCTTTTCCGCTCCTGACTTTGTACCAGGGCCGTTGCAGGTCCAGGCTCCGCCTCCAAATTTCAAATTTGGGGTATCTCGAGAGTAAGTTCACCATTGAAGCATCAATTTTGGTTCGTCCAGGCCGATAGTTTCCCTGCAGGATTGCTCACGCAGCCGAGAAACTTGGCTTCGCCATCTGCAACGACGTGAACGACGCACGTCTGCCAACATCAGGATGTTTCCTCTTGCACCTGACAACCGCACAGGACGGCTACCGCAGTAGCACCTTCCGAGCCTATCTCCCCAAACACTTTGTCCTCGCCCATCGCGAAAATCTGCACATCTGTACGAAGACAATCGCATGCAAGGTCGAGGTTAAGCAATCAGCCACCGGTACACTCAGAGCGACTGGTGTCATCCTGCAGGGGACAAAGCCTGGGTCGTCCACGCGATTCGTGGCCGCCAGAAAGGAGGTCGTGCTGTGCTGTGGTGCGATCACAACGCCGCAGCTGCTGATGCTCAGGTCACCGTCTCGCCTGTACCAAGGTCTGACTAAGATGTACTAACGTGCTCTTGCTCGAACAGTGGCATTGGCCCAGCAAACCATCTGCAACAAGTAGGCGTCCCGGTGGTACACGAGCTCGATGGTGTCGGCTCCAACCTTGTGAGTCTCTGTCGTGCTTCTCTGCGCTTGTGCTAAGGATTGTGCAGCAAGACCACATGGGCTGTAGTGACGTGGCGACTTACCACCGACTATAATGTAGTCGTATTCCTGCTGCACTTCGGAGGGCAGATACTCAGGATATCTGGTCTCAAATGGCCACATGATTGTCGTGTCTAAGGAGCGACTCTGAATGTGAAACAACGGCACATGGGAGCCCGCACAAAACTGAATTTCGCACGCAACCTCCCGCGGCTGCAGGGCAGAGAGTGGGCAGCGATCTCTATGTGAAAAAAGCGCGTTAGCTTACTCTATTTACCTATCTCATCTCGATCGTTGGCGCGTCTACAGTCCACAGCTTGAGACGAGGACGAGGACGAGGACGAGGATGAGGATGCTCGGTCAACGCCGCGGACTCTGACGCGCCCATTTCCTAAAACGCCGGTAGCGTTGCTCTCCAGAACAGTTTGCCTAGCGCAGTCTAGTCACCGCGAGCCACCAGAAAAATCCATGCTAGAGCATACGTTTTCGGATCATTTAGTTTAATGAGGATATTCAGGGTGCCTCGGTCCAATGCCAGTCAGTAGATCGTGAATGTTACAGGCCTGCATGGCATTGCCCGCATTATCCTTTGACTCTACCTCCATGACGACGGTCGTGCTCAGCGTGATGCGCAGTCTGCGACCTAGGATGCCACACAGTTCGATCAGAGCGAGTGGCGTGGTGGCTGGGAGCAAGCGCTCCTCCAAGACTGTCTGATCATCCCGCAGCAGTAGACGATAAAGCACCAGAGACGTGTCTCACAACTGCGCCAGCTTTGAGTGTGAGGCAACGCAGCGAGCGTAATCCCAATAAGGGGATGATCATTTTTGTTGAAGTATGACAATCAGTGAAGGGTAAGGATATGCAAGGAACTTCCGAGTGGTCGATGGTGCCGGTGTGAAATGTTGAGTGGGAAGCGACGCAGTAGCCGAGCGCGCCGCATGTTGAAGTCATTTACCACAACTCGCTGGCCAGCGGCCCGCGGATCGGCCAGTCCTGGCGAGCGCCACCGTATGACAACTACAGGCTCTTTACGAATCTCATTTGTGCTCTTCATTGTGGTGTCCAACTACGGAAGAAAGCTTCAAATTTTGGTAGTCATCAATTTCGCGCACGTGTCTTAAGAACGCAGCCTGCAGCCGCTCGCGCACTCGCTCTGTCAATATGGAGCGCATTCAACAGGACGGCCAGTTGTACAAGTCGCATATATCTACAACGAATACAAATACCCAATCTGTAATGGTGTCACAAGAACGGCATAACTCAGAACCCCCCCACCCCCCCGTTAAGGGAAGGATAAGCTTGCAAGTGCGAACAAATGGATAAACGTCGTCGCGTCTGCAACGAATACAAATCGCTAATCTGCAATAGTGTCACAGGAACAGCGTAACTCGGGTAATCGTCGTTTTTAAAAGAGGAATATCGGTCTCCACAGGAGATATGCAGCTCCATGAGTCCAACTACAAGGTGCAGCAATCGAAGGAAGTAGAAAAAAGCCTTCGAGGTCGGGACTGTTGCTCGACTAGAAATACAACATAACTCTAAAGCGAGCTGCCATAGAAAACTACAAAAAATGTGAGCCATGTCTGGCAATACGACTAGGATTATGGTCGACTCACCGTATTGAGCGGTGTAGCGTACGGTAATGTTCGCGGAACCAGGAGTGCACTAAGCGCAGTTCACTTAGCAAATTGGTGACAGAGTTGGATGCACCTCAACACTTACAGAAGCAGGCGGTTGCCCGCCCTGGGTGCTCACCCTGTAGATAGCAGTGGCGAGTTCGCCCTCCACGCTCTTAAGACTCAGCCAATTGATGTTGACTGTGGGGTTGCTTGGCGCGGGGACGGAGCCTGTCGTCGCGCCGACCACGAAGGCATTAGGATTGCCGGCCTCGCTCGCGGACGTGAAGTCCCACTCCGGGCTGAGGCCCGAGCCCGTGGGGTTGTCGATGAAGAAGTGCTGGCCAAGTACAACACCGGGGCTTAGCTCCGAGATGGTGTTGATCAGCGACAACGCAGTAATGCTTTCAGGAGCGGCTTTCCAGGCATCATAGGCGATGTCTGTGATGAGGTCAAAGGTCGGCTCAGGAAGACAAGAGATGTCGAAGATCTCCGCGACAGCCCCAATGGATCTGTAGATGATTCGCCAACGTTCAGCAACCGTAAGCACCAAACATAACGTACGAGTACGTCCCAGTGCTCGCGCACGTGTAGTTCTGCGTACCGACACCAAGGCCAAAGAACGATGGTGGACCCGGAGGCGGGGGAACGAGAGGCATTGTGGACGAGTTGGCGGTGCTCGGCAAAACGAGAGTGTCCTTCGCCGTGCTGCAGCGCGAGCCCGTTCGACGCGAAGGGGCCGCAAAAGCAACAGAAGCAGCGGTCAGGAAGGTGAGGATGTGGGATGAAAGCATCGTTTAAGGAGAGTCGGGCGAACTGAAAAGAAGGGAAAGGGAAGGCGGCGGGCTATGAAGTCTACCTAAGGGCCGCCGTGTGGCTTTTATAGGTCGACGTGCATGGCTCTAAGCATCTTTGTGCGCATTTACCAGTTCCGCCGGCTATCCCTCGTGCAGGGACGAGACAAAGGATAAATATGTCTGGCTGCTCATCCACGGCAAGTTAGCATTTAGGCAGCTGTCCAAGTGAGACACATCTGCCAGTTGGGATGGTTAGATCTTAAAATGTGACGTGCCGTTAAAGCGCATCAGGACGCGTTTGACGGGCTGTCGGCAAGATTCAGGCACGTCAGGCCTTCTGCCTAGCAACCAGCTATAAGTACAATGCAGCATAGCGACGAACAACACCGATGGGACATATTCACGTTGAGATGACACCGAAGGCCTGACGAATGATCAGCTACTGCAAGTACGCTTGACGGAAAGGAAGTGGTTTGCTCATAGGCTCGACTTTCATGGGATGAAAACAAAGATATTTGCACGTTTGCAGATTGATATCACTAAAGGACGGCATTGTGGGATCGATCCGTGCGAAAACACAGGATCGTCCAATGAGCTAACACTATGCAGCTGTATGTCTTAGTACTCGAGGATCTGAGCTGTGCAAACTTCATCCAGAGAAGTCCTGCGACTTACCAAAACTAGTGGCATCTCTGCTGAAGGATGCTCACAAGCTCAGAAGGCATCTCAGGAAAGTAGTCGGTGCGACTTAAGCTGAATGTCTCGTCGCGGCTGGTGGCAGCCAATAAGAGACCTTGAACGAGTGGCGTCAGTAAGTGAGCAGCGTTTACTTACTGTATTATGAGAGGCAAATAATTGTACTTACATATTAGACGCCTATATAGGAATTGTTACTTTCTGTCCTTACCCCTTCTATCTTACCCCAAACTTCCACTTTCGACAGTTGGCACACATGCTATCAATACCTATCAGCCGCGTGCCGTCCTCGCCGTACTTGTGAGACTGCGCCCCGTACCTTGTGACCACAGTATCACACAGAATGCGGTCCGTGTTTCTCAGCTTCAGGTGGCAGCGTTTTCGGCATGCGATTTTTGTATATAAGTCCTTGTGAAACTTGGTGCGAACGTCGTATCTACAACATCCAGAAGCATCTGTGTTACTGCGAAGAGTACTCGCAACTCTAAGATGTCCCAACCCGTGTTTGGTCCATGCCCCCCTCGTTTTGCGGAGATCAAGCGTCAGATAGCTGTGTCGTACCCGGACTTCGAGACCCGCGTTACCAAAGCGTGGGTCGACCTCCTCAGCGAGCTCGACAAGGTGACGGAGGAGATTGCGAGCCAGGGATCAGACGTGAGTTTTCAGTCCGGCGGTGAACGCCAGAGCAGGAGTTCTCATATTCGCGCAGAGCATACCACATGTGCAGTTCTCTGCTCTTGAGAACCTCCCTCAGGAGAAATTGGACGTAATTCGGCGCAGGGGATGCGTTGTCATTAAGGACGTTGTGGACGATGTCGAGGCTACATCTTGGAAAGATGATCTTCGCGAGTATGTCAAGGCGAATCCTGTGCAAGGTCAGCAAATGGAGAGCGTTCTTCATGGCAACTCGCTGACATGAACCATGCAGGTTTCCCTGAGGAAGATAAGCAGTTCTTCCAGCTCTAGTAAGAAAAGGCCGTTCTCCACCCGTGTCATGACGGAGCTGATTTCTCATTTCGACATTTCTCGTTTCGACACACAGCTGGACCAAGTCCCAAGTCCGTGCCCGCGCCGATCCGAACGTACTAGCTGCAACCGCGTGGCTCAACAAATTTTACCATGTCAAGTCTCAGCAGGAACTCCCCGATGTCGACCTGTTTACGCCGCTCAGTTATGCCGACCGCTTCCGCATGCGGCACCCCGGGAACAAGTGGTACAATCACCCGCCGCATATCGATGGTCTGTCTTGACCTGTCGACTAGTTCCAACGGAAAGTTTCTGATGAGGTCTCGTTCAGGTGGTGGCATTGAGAGGTGGGAAGACGACGCGTTCCGGAGCTGCTTCGCGGACATCCTAAACGGAAACTGGAGACAACACGACCCGTACGACCTCGAAGGACGTATCAACGCTCGCAACTCGTTATATGGCAGACCAAACCAAGTGAGTTTACATTACACTTGCCGTCGCAGTAAGATACTGAATGGCACCGAAGTCTTCAATCTTCAGAACATATCAAGGCTGGCTCGCCCTCAGGTATGTGCGCATTCTGTACAGGTCCTTTGATGAGGACTCATAACGTCTGTGTAGCGAGATCACACCACCGAATCAGGGAACTCTTCAAGTTTTCCCTGACGTCTTACTCTCGAACACCTACATCATTCTCCGGCCCTTTTTCAAGCCTGTCTCTGAGGATATCTCCGAGGCCGATCTCTTCAAGGCCGAGAACTGGAAATTCGGCGAGTTGCTTCTTAGTCACTACTTGCGTCGCGTGTCTTACACGACACTTATTATGAAGACATCACGTCTGAAGACTTCCCGGGCATCTACTCGCTCGACAAAGGCTACAGCGGACCGCGTCCGAAAACGGAGACGCATCCGCACCTGCGGCTCGACAAGACGATGGTGAGCGTGCCGAAGGTTAAACCGGGCGACATGGTGTTCTGGCACTGCGTATGTCCAGTCTCCTCCCCATCTCGTGTCAGTCATTCCTGCAACTAGCTCTCTAGGACGTGATTCACGCTGTCGAGATTGAGCATACCGGCATAGAGGATTCCTGCGGTGCGTGTTCCCCTTATACCTCCCCACCCATTGTGCTCATGTGCCTCATTGCTCGACAGTGATGTACATCCCTGCGATGCCCAACACGCCCGTGAATGCCGAGTACGTCCAGCGCCAGCGCGAGAGTTTCCTCGCGGGCGTGCCGCCGCCGGACTTCCCCAAGTGGGAGGGCGAGGCGGGCTTTGCTGGCATTGGCACCCCGGACGATATCGTTGACCCTATCGGGAAGCAGGCGATGGGATTCGCGGTCTCCGCCGCTGCGTGAACGACTGGTTTGCTGTAAAATATCTCGATATGGAGAAAAAATCGAAAGATGGAGCAAACGTTGGTATAATACGTCCTGCTGTACAATGATATCCCTGGAATTGGAAAGTCACAGTGTAAAAACGATGGAACATACAGCTTCGAATACGGCGCCACAAAGCCCCAACCAAACATGGTCAAACATTCTGCGAATGCGACGTAAATTCACGCCGAGATACAGAAGATATGAGCACTCTAAAGATCGAAAGCAAGGTGCAATGAGAGCATGCTGAGACGAGACTGAAATAAAAACGAAATCGGACCAGGACACCAAGGTCCAAGATGGGGATAGATCATGAGTTGGCGACCGCCTCCCCCTCTCCCTTGCACTTTTTGTGCTTCTTGTCCCTTTTCTCCTTCTTACTATCTCTATTGCTTTCTTTCGCCTCCGTTTTCGCTTCGGACGCTACCGGCGCGTCGACGTCCATCGTGTCCTCAGAGACCTTCTCCTTAGACTTTTTCGACTTTTTCGACTTCTTCTCACCCGCCACTGATTCTGTCGCAGGTTCGGCTACCTCTGCGGTCTGTTCCTTCTTTGCCTTCTTTTTCTTATCTCCCCTTGCCCTCCTTGATCTGTGCTTCCTTGCTCTGCTTACCCTCGCTGTTCGCCTCTACGCTCGCCTTCTGCTCCGACGTTACTTCTACAACTGACTCCCGTCGCGCCTCCTTTTTCTCCTTCTTGCTCTTCTTATCTCCCTTTTCCGAGGTTTCAGGCGCCGAAGATGAGTCGGCGGTAGGCTCAGGAGACGTCTTCGACCTCTTCGCGGGCTCGTCCTGCAGCGAATGAGCAACGGTGAACGGCCGAAGAGACAGAATACACACAGCAGCATCTTCGGCTTTGCGCTTTTTGTCTTTTTTATCCTTCTTCTCTTTCTTCTTCTCCTTCTCCCCCGCCTTCTTCACATCGCCATTCTGCTTGCTCTCCGCCTTGCTCGACTGGGCCTCAGATTTCTCAGCGGAGGGCCTCTTCGCAGACTCGGCCTTCTCCGCGTCTTCTTCAAGCGCAACTGGAGTCGTGACGGGCGACATCCGCACGGGAGTGCCCAGGGGAGAGGCGTTAGCACCTGTGCCCTCGTATCGCGGCGCGTGGGGTCTGCCGCTTCCCCAGTCGTTCGTGCGACTCCAGGGCTGGTACTTACCCGATGATCCTGCTCCGCCATGGCTGCCATTTTGCTGGACGTTCTGCCGGCGGTTGTTGCTGTTGTTGTTATTGTTGGATCGGTTGTCCTGCCGGCCCTGGTCCAGTCAGTTGATTCGAGGGTATGTGAGGTCAGGCGAGGAAAGAAAGGGGACTAGACGCACGTCTTTCGGGCCCTTGTAAAGACCCTTTTGATATTTCTCGGCCTCGCTAATGCACTGCGTGTGGCCCTTGTACTCGGCGGGCCCGTTGAAGGTCGTGCTGCAGTCGATGCATGTAAATGCAGATTGGCACTGATACCGGTGGTTGTCAAGCTTAGGCTTCTTCACCACATCTCCACATCCTGTTTACATATAGGGTCAGCTCCCAGCGACAGGATATCTGCGGCTCTGCCTGTGCTAGTGAGGAGCGTGCAGACCTTCGCATCTGAGACAGATCGGGTAAGTTGTCCGCATTCATGCTGGTTGACTGGCTGGGTACTTACTGGAACGAGACCATTTTGAACGAAGGGTAAGGACAAAGGAAGGCAGGATAACAAAGAGCAGGAAAAACAGTACGAGAGCAGAAAACCACCAGCAGCCAATCAGCAGCCACTGGACGTGAAATTTAGAAGTCACGTGAAACAGGCGCGATAACAAGGCGCGCCGGCGGCGCCGCGCTTTTGGTCGCGTTCTCGCCTTTGACCGCGATGGTCTCCTTTGCCGCGTCGGAAATTCTCAAAGTGCTACTCGGTAATTGAGGTCAGGCTCGAAATTTTAGCTGAATATATGATATAGATTATGGCTGCTGGCCCTCAACGTGGCTGGCAGACGCGTGTGCTACACTTCGAGACTAAGGGTATACGGGTATGTACTGTATCTGTGTCTCCTAATCAACCGATGATAGTCCCGTGAAGTCCATGTCTTCAAGTTCCGATGGTATATCTGGGTATCCCTGCTCTTGTCCACTGTGCCTCATCGCCTGCCCATCTTGATCACCCACGTCTCGACCTTCCTCTTCCCGGGCAGGAGTACGCTCTCCACAAACTCTTCGCCCTTCTCCAGGCCCATGAACATCGTCTCGTCACCGAGGTAGTCCACCCTGAGCGGCGACTTCTCCTCAGCAGGGTCCCTGTCCACCCTCCTCTTCATCGCCCGTTCCACGGTCCTCTTCTTCGCGGGGTCAAGGCACACGAGCGCCCACTCCGCCTCAGCGACGGGCCTGCGTAGCGCAGCGTGCGCGCGCTCCCAGATCGTGCCGCACATGACGACCTCGTTCCGTATCTCGATCGGCCACGGGAACGCGCGCGCGACGAGGCGCAGGTCGCGCACGGGCTCGGGGAAGACGCTGAAGCCCGCGAACCGCGCGTACTCAGGCAGCGCGCACCGCGGGTTCTCGCGCACGTCGAAGAGCAGCGGAACCCTGCCTCCATCGATACATGGGTGCAGCGTGTCGCGTTGGGGGCGGACTGGTGCGAACGGTGCGAACACGGGGACAGTGGGTGCGCGTAAGTACGTCTCTGGGCCGCAATGTTGTGTGCACTCACTCGATTGCACAGGAATTTGCATAGGCTGCGGGTACACGCATGGCACCCCAAACCAGGGGAATGCCGCTGGCGGGTAGGGCAGGTAGACGACGTTGCGCGTCGGCGAGGGGACTGGCGGCCACTGGCTCTGGCTCTGGCCCTGCGTCGGGTGGCGATCGTGTGGGAAGCCCATTCTTTGCGAGATGTTGTGTGTAGGTGAGTGTTCGATGTTTTCACTGTCCTCCTGCACCAGCCCCTTTTATATGCAGTCCTAGAGTGACTCTGTGCATTATTACACGAGGCTATGGCAGACGACACTCAGAGCCTCGTAACCTGCAAAATAAGGTTAAGTTCTGCCATCCGCCCCCCACTGCCCGGAAGAGCTGACGACAGACGCACACCGACGTAAGCAGTGCGACCCGGGTGCTGGACGCTGCGGTCCAGGGAAGTCCGCATCATTCTCACGGGCGACTGGAGTTATCGATCATCTAGACTCTCCCCTGGACCAATGGGAAGCGTGGCCAGTCTGGGCTTCGAGCGTCACCTTCCCGCTGTGCACTGCCCTGTGCGCCCATTCCTGTGCAAGAAGCGGTCCTCCCCGACGCCCGCCCCCGTCAAGCGTCGCCCACGTCGGGAGGGCTGTGCCCCCTTGTTCCCATCGTGACGGCCCGCCGTGCATGACGTATGAGCTATCTTTCGGGACGTGAGTGTTCCTCCTTTAGTCTTCCGGGCGCGCGTCGAGGTCGGTGTACTCTAGAGCTTTCCTAGGACAGATACGTGCTGTGCGGTGGTATAATGCAGTTCAGAGTGTCACGTCTCGGAAAATCTGTCAAGGTATGTCCCAAGGATCCGATGGCTAAGTATACATTATTCTGGGTTCCTCAGGATGCCTGCCTCCGTCCATTTTCGCTGTCGACGAGCTTTTTTTTTTTGGTATGGAAGTGTTCTATGGCATAGCTCGGAGGTGCTCGGGGAGGTATGGTGTAAATCACAATCATTCCCGTGGTATGCCGGATATGTCTGGCGAGGCTGCGTCGGTCTGCCGGGCTCACACCTCCAGAGCCTTGCTTCGGCTGAGTCCCTTGGACCCTTTACTTAGTCACTTTCTGTTTGTTGCGCAGCATTAACGGAGCTTCTGCCAATAACGCGACTGGGGCGACAAGGAAGTTCGTCCTGTGTGATCTTGGGAATGTCGACGTGTCGGCTGAAGGTGAGCCCCCTCTCCATAATATCCCCTTTCTCCGGCCGCGCGTACTCACAAGCGACACATAAACTTCGCCAGTGTTCACAATCTAATTCCGCTGACGTCTCAATGGGTATTGCAGTGTCACAGCTGAATGCCATCAGAAACACATTGTTCGTGCGAACCGAAGCCCATTCACTCGCTTTGATTTCGTGCCAATCCTGGACGCCCCCCTCCCAACGTCCCAATTCAAACCCGCGCCGAGCACATTCAGCGGGTCAGCTGCCTCACCCCTGGGTCAGTCGGCCACTGCCGATCGCTGCGTTTCAGCGGAGGCGCATGACTTGAGGAAGTGTATATAGAGTCGTGTGCTTGCATATAGATGCACCTTTTCTGCCACTTTTTGCCCCCTTCGTCTGCTCTCGTATCCGCTTGCCCACAATGACGAGGTGTACGGCGTCTCGTTTACACTCTTGTGTGTGTGTCTGCAAGTCCGGAACGGCTCCTCCGCCAAATGCGAGAAGCGCTAGCAGAATGCGGGAGTAGAGTCAAAGTAGACGAATTCATTGCCGGAGACCGGCCTTCGAGCACCTTCAGAGGCGTCGAACGCAGGTGTTATCTCTGGCAGACGGGGTAAATTAGTCAAGGGCCAAGGATCGTCCGGTACGTGCATGCTTCGCTGCTGAGTCTTTCGAGCGGCTGCTCATACACTCATGACTGCAGCAGAAGGCGATGACGAAATAGGTCAATGGCAGATGTGCATGGCAATGCACATGACCTCGGCGCCGTCGTTAACAAAGACGAACCCACTTCACACGCGCCCGACCAATTCCAAATTCCCGCCAGGTTTTGTCATCGTCCCCCGTCGACCGCTCTAGCGCCTGGCGTTTCAGTACGCGCCCGGGTGTCCGTCTATGCCCGTCGCCATCCGACCTCTCAAACGCGTCTTTTAGCGTCAGAGAGTAAGCACGGGGAAACGGTGCAGGTGCGTGCACATACCGCGAGTACTGGTGCATGCGTTTCTCTTGCCAATCGGAGCACGGAGCAACGATAACCATCCTACGCTCATTGGCCTGCGGACCTATCAGCCGCCGTCGACGCTGGCTGTGGATATCATCACAGATGCTGACCACGGACGTGCACGGGAGGTGACTAACCGCACGTGATGCGGGGAAAGCGTGCTCGTCCTCGACTGTGCCGCCGCCCATACATAAAGCCTGCTCCGGGAGACCCGACAACCTCCATCCGTTTGGTTTCACTGCCATGTCCTTTGCAGCACTGCGCGCGTCCCTCCACCGGGCTGCTGCCCCCGCCCCTGCCGCTTTCAGGCGCTCTGCCGTTCGCTCGAGCGTGCGCAGGTACTCAACAGAGCCGCCCACCCCCACACCCGCTCCCAAGTCGAGTACCGCGCTGTATGCAGGCCTCGGTGCTGCTGCCCTCGGAGGCGTCGCATTCTGGGTCTTCACCTCCCAAGGTGACTCCGCGAAGACTATCGCCAAGTCTGGCATCCAAGGCGCAAAGGCCGCGGCCAAGTTCACGCCCACAAAGGAGGACTATATTAAGGTGCGTGCCTCAATGCCGGCGAAAGCTACAGCGAATACTTAGAGGCCTCCAAAGATTTACAACAAGGTCGCTGAAGTCATGGATGAGGCTGCTGATAAGGACTACGATGGTGAGCACCGCGAGGACTTCGTAAGCTGTCTCCGGAGCGCTGATGGTGGCAATGCAACAGACGGATCTTATGGCCCTATCTTCCTGCGTCTCGGCTGGCATTCTTCTGGCACTTTCGACAAGGAGTCCGGCACCGGTGGAAGGTACGCTTTCCTACGTCCGCGCCCCGGAGACCTCAGCTAACCCTTATCTTGCAGCAACTACGCGACCATGCGGTTTGCGCCCGAGTCCCAGCACGGCGCGAACAACGGCCTGCACGTCGCGCGGGAGCTGATGGAAGAGATCCACAAGGAGTTCCCCTGGGTCTCGTACGGCGACCTCTGGACGCTCGGTGCCGTGACGGCCATCCAGGAGATGGGCGGGCCGCACGTGCCATGGCGCCCGGGGCGCATCGACGGCGTCGCGGCGCAGGCGACGCCCGACGGGCGGCTGCCGGACGGCGCGAAGGGCGCGGACCACCTGCGCGCGGTCTTCGGGCGGATGGGCTTCGACGACCGCGAGATCGTCGCGCTCTCGGGCGGCCACGCCGTCGGGCGCTGCCACCGCGACCGCTCGGGCTGGGACGGCCCCTGGACGTTCTCGCCCGCGACGGTGAGCAACTCGTTCTTCAAGCTCCTCTTCGACGAGACCTGGGTCTGGAAGAAGTGGGACGGCCCGCGCCAGCTCGAGGACAAGGGCACGCGCTCGCTCATGATGCTCCCCACCGACTACGTCCTCGTCCAGGACAAGAGCTTCAAGAAGTGGGCCAGGGCGTACGCAGACGACGAGGAGCTGTTCTTCAAGGAGTCCGTGCCGTTTTTCCTCGCCCGAGTATGACGCGTTGTTACTGACTGGATGCAAACTACAGCTTCGCCGGCGTTTGCGTCAAGCTCTTCGAGAACGGTGTCCCCGCCCACCAGTGGGTGACCTCCGAGCCGTGGATCATGCCAACCACCGAGGAACAGAAGGAGGCCAAGTCTTCTTAAGTCACTATACCGCCCCAAACTAGAATCCTAGACGGCTTGTCCTAGAAGTGCATCCCCTAGAACCGCAACTTAAACGTCCAGTCGGTAAACTTCCAATGTTGTCGCTGCCCAATGCCTTGTGGACTTTTCCGGCGTAAAATAATCTGTGATTTGTCGTTGTGGCAAACTTAAACATCTCTTGGTTCACTGGCGCTGCTATATATCTATCGTTGTCTTCTTTGTATTCCTGGGTATCACAATGGAATTGTGCTTTGCATAAGTCAGTGGACGCTTGTTTAATGCGGCGAGAACGAGCCACGTACTACTGTGGGAACAATCCCAGAGGCCAGACTGACTCTAGCAGCTATATTAGTGCTAAACATCTTCGTGTTCCACACTTGTCAAGTAAAGAGCACATTAGAGGCGACTGTAAGCCTAATCCATTGCTGATAATTCTATATATACATCGTCGTGAGCATCGTGAGTAGTCAAGTGGTACAGGGAGGAGGATCGAAGAAGGTAACGAAACCCAAAGACCTGGTATACGTCTAGCAACAGACTTGTATCTCAAATCGAAAAACAAAAAAGGACTGTCCGACCGAAACGGATGGATGATTGTGTGCGCGGGCAATACAGCGTCGGATGGTGGGAGGAACGGGGATCAGAACGACGTCGTCGAGTCGACCTCGATCGTGGGCACAATCGATGCGATGAACTTGAGAAAGACGACGAGATAGAAGTCGACGCGCATACCCTCTATATCCTCGTCTTGCGCGTCCTTGACGTTGTTCCCGCTCGCGCGGCGGAAGAGCCACTTCTTCTGGGCACCTTTGTCCTTGGCTGCCGCTGCGGACGTGCCCTTGCGCTGCGCTTGCTGCTCCTCAATTACGCTCTGGTTCATGCGCTCAATGACCTTCTTCATGACCTCAGCGTGCCGACACGGATGTACGGATGCTGCCTGTAGAGAGTTGCTGTGAGGGAAGGGCTCGATCGTCACCGTCTTCTTCGCATGCTCGGCAGATATGTCTTGAAATATTTGCGACGGCGTGAGCGGGTTGCCGTTCTATTGTAGGACACTCATCAGCAGTACTCATAGTATAAGCATGGTTTATATGTACCTCATCATAACCAATGAGCCACAATCTCGGTGTCTGGTAGTACTTGTCGTATGAGATGAGGACGTCGTACGTCCGCACTTGCAAGAGGTTACCCTTTGCTACCTCAACTTGACTGCACAGGGCGTTGAGAGTGAGACAAGGAGGACATCACATCAACGGCGCACCTTCCGTCGATGACCCCGGCAGTCGGCGACGTAACTTTGGGTGCTGCAACAGCCGCATCGTCCTCATCCTCCAAGTCCTCCTCTTCCATGTCCGGGATCTCATCAATATCCGGGATCTCATCCGGGCCCGCCCCCGCGCTCGATAACGATGTGTTCGCCATCGCATGCGCCAGGCCGTCTTCGACGTCCGGAATCTCGTCGATGTAGCCCGCGTCCGCCACACCGTCGTCGCCCACGGGGCGACCAGCGTGCGTCTCGACCCACTCGTCTTCCTCCTTGCCCGTGCTCGAGAGCTCGCCAAAGGAGACAAGCCGCTCTGCGTCCTCGTCTGCGTCTGTGTAGGCGAGAGCCGTTGCTCGGCGCAGGCATGGCACCCCGCGCGTCATCAGGTACTGTTTGTCGGCGGGTAGAAAGTCGCGCGTCTTCCCTGGGTCGGCTTTCTCCCTGTCTGCATGGTCAGTACATAGGGTGGAGAGGCCGCAGGGGCCGGGGTATACGCAGCGACGGACCATGTCCAGACCCCAAACTTGTACGTCAGGAAGTCTCCTGCAGCAATGAACTCCTCTAGTGTCGCGAGTCAGCAGCAGGTTCTTGCAGAGTCGAAGCTGCATCACGCACCAGGAGTGATACGCCCATGCTCCTTGAATTTGCTCTCTTTGAGAACCTAATCAAACACCTTGCCTCAGCGGAATGCATTGCGTCGAAATCAAGCAGAGTGGCATACAGGACTCAAGTAGTCGCGTACCGCCCAGTATTGTTGCTGGCAGCACGCGCGATCAGTACGCTCACGGAGGTGCGTGTGAGCGGGAAAATGCGACGAACCTGGAGAGCGTGCATGGTGGTGGGACAAAGAGAGTCGGTGGCAAGCGGACAATCATCGATCCTCAAGCAACTATCAAAGTACGACACCACGTGTTTCTCAAAACGGCAAGTCCCCCCTTTGAAACACTCCCTCGAGCTCGCAGTGGAACCGTATCGTACGTCGTGGGCGAGGAGAGGGCAAGAAAGCCAGAGAGCAGATGCATGAATCGGGAAAGCGGTATTTAAAGTGCGCAGACATTTGCACGGACGGAAGAGGCTTATGCCCGACAGGTCGGGCCAAATACGCCATATGCGCGAGCTAGTCCTAAACGAAACTACTCGTCCAGCTTCCAAGCATTATCCTTGACAAGTTTCTCCCTCTCAAGCAGGTACTTTCCTGCGTCGTCGATCAGCATCCCCGATTTCACATCCGCACTGCTACTTGCCTTCTTTGTACTTCTGCGCGTTATCTGGGGCTTTGACATAGTGCCAGCCGAGCCGCTCGTTGCAGCCCATGCAGTACACGTCCGCGACAGTATGCACGCCAGTCCTACATTCAGCTCCGTTCAGACTCACAGTCCGCAACACGAGAAGAGCGAAAGACACCCACAGAAGCCCACGCTCTTCTCTCTTTCCCATCTTGAGATTGATAGCCGAGTGCATGAGACTGTCGGTGCGCTCAAAATACCGCATGGCGAGATGGGAACGAGGACTTACTAGCCGCGACCATCCCGTCCTGAGAAAGACTTGCTGATTAGCTCGTCCTGGAGGGCCTTGGGTCAACACGTCAGCTCTGCATATCTGATAAGAGTGTAGGATACAGACGATTGTCGCAGAACAGGTCGAACACTGGAACACTGGATGATCGTGATAGGCTGCGATGACCTGTGCTTTCGTATCTGCATTGACGGTTTGCGTCATAGGAGTCTTCAAGAAATGAGCGAAATGAGGAAGTTGCCGGGCAAAGCTTTGCGGCAAGAGATGCGTTAAGACCAGACACACATGATATATATTCGAACCTGAGCAAGATAAAGGGCTCCTAGAAGCAGTAGCTAGCACTAGCCCTAAGTCAACCTGGAATTGGTCAGTGAGCACTTCGCACAGCGGAGGCAAATCGGGGCGCACACTGTGTGAGATCAAAATAGGGTTAGGAGAGATCGACGTCAGGGTTAGGAGTCCGGCTCTCTTTCCACGACCCCCTCCAGGTCGTTCCTCGCTTTCTGCACCTCCAATCGTTCTAGCACAGCTCGATGCAAGCTCGACATCGCACTTCGCCCCGCTGACTTGCCCTTGGACTTCGAGGCACCAGCCTCGCCGCCTTCAGCGGCAGGCGCACGGGGCAGATCTGACTGAGCGTTCGATGGCTCGCTCGTTGTCGTCAGGTGGGAAGGGACGATGATGGGCGTAGGACGGGGCGGAGGTGGCCACTGTGGTCAGAATAAGCACACAGAGAGGCGAAGGCTGGTA